AAGAAAGAGATTTGTAAATAAAAGATAACGACATTGTTATTAACAGTAAGGAAGCAAAAAGTGCCGCTGCAAGATTTGCCTCAGGACAGATTTCAGATAAAGAGAAGACATTTAATACATCTACACGTATTACCAATGACTCAAAAATCTGTAGGTGTACTTACTCAATAAAAGCAAAAAAAGTGAAACATAGGAAACAAACAAAACAAACAAAGAGTCAACAAAACAAAACCCTTGTGCCTTTGTGTCTTTTAATAAAAGAAAACATGGTACAATTTGGAGACCAGTTTTAACCATTCTCTGCTTTCTGATGTTTCTGTAAAGGCTAAGACTGGGGATCTGCAATCCTCACTGCACTGCCCAACAGACCTTCTCCCCCATGCCACAGCTGTGAATGGCACACTACCTGAACACAGACTAAAACCAGTCTTCCAAATGCTTTTACTTATCTTATTATCATTATCCAGGCCTATGCCTGAGTCTTCACTAGATGACAAACTACTTAAATGCAATCAGGATTGATTGATCAAGTAAATTTTTGGCCATGCAAAACAGTTTCAAAAACTACACGTGCATGCTTTCTTTTTCCCCCAGAGAGGTAAGTGAATGGCCCCCCCTTTTTTTTTTTAAACTATGTTATTTCTGGAGCTTTTTCATATATAATTAGACAAGGTAGACTACTTCACCACCTCTCTCTGATCATCAGAAATTTAAAAGCAGTTGAATCTATAGCTATGTTTTTCTTAATTTTCATTCAGTTCAGCTGAACTGGTGTATAATATATTCTGAATACTCCATTAATACTTTTAATCACAGCTTATATAACTGAAAGCTTCTGGTCAGCTTTGGAAGTTTTGAAGACAGTTTGCTTAATTTGCTCCCAATTGATTGTTGGCATGTTCCACCCCCGATGTACAGATAAAGCCCATTGGGTCAGGCTCTCACCACAGGTAACTCCACTGCTGCACAGATGAAGACCTTGACTGTTACTCAGCTGTTAGCCTATTTACCACCACCTCACCCACCCAAAAAAATGTTCACAGGATTAAGGATGGGAATATAGACAAAGTCATAAATGGTGCCACCAAACAAGTCAACCAAGGGCAATATAGAATAAGACAGTAAGAATGAGGCTAAAATTCACAGCATCATCATGTAAATGAATACATTCTTTATTCTAACCTTTTATTTTTTTAATAAAGTCTGCTGATTTGGCTGGAGCTAACTACTTCCTCCATTGTACACTGTACACTTTGATGGTCTAATGTGATAAAGTCAGGCTCATACCACATTTTGGGCTTCTCTAAACATATCACTGGTCCACAAGATGACTACTCTGCATTACTAACCCGAACGAAACATGTCAAGAAGTAGCTTCTACATGAGCCATTTGTTCAAGTGGGTGACTAGCTTTTTAAAAAAACTATTTTTGTCTCAAAGGAAATTCAAAATAAAAATACTTGAGAATAGCATACAAACACCACCAAATTCTTTATTAGAATTTTAGTTGGATAAATGCACTTCAGATTGTGCTCCTCCCCTAGTCAGTTTAAATGTTATGTTTGGCATTTTGACACAGATAGCAGCTTCCACAGAGATATCTGCAAATGCTTGATGTTGTATTCCTGTATCAGAAATAGAATATAATACATAATACAATGTAAAACATCATGCAAAACATCATGCAACTTTCACACAGTATGCTGAAAAAAAGGTTTCCTAGATTTCATTCCCCAAAAATATTACATGCATCAACTTCTAGAAAATGAGCTAGTACTTATCATCACACAGTAAAATTAATTGCAAACAGCCAGGTATGATAAAAGCCCACACACTGAGGATCTCTGCCACAGGAACGCAGAAGGTATTAACATCAGAAGACATAAAGCAAAGGTTCTCAATACAGAAAATAATCTTCTTAGTTTTAGGAACTTGTCATAATGAGACCATAAAGGCAGACAATCAACTGAAAACAGTGCTTATCAGTTTAATTTCTAGAGATTAAAAACTACTCCCAACTTGTTGAACAGCTCGTTTTCCATCAACAGGAGCTCTACAAATGTTTCTAAGCAAAGACAAACATCCTTAGTCTGCCAAGCAAATGGCTTTCCGCTTTGTTGTGGTCTGGTCCTTTGACTGTGAGCCATGTTAGATACAGGGAAAGAATTACATCTAATTAATGCTGCTAGCTGACAAGCTGAGCAAAAAAACCCTAACAAACCAGCAATGGAAGCACAGACACACACTGGGTAATAATCTTGAATCAGTTCTACTTGAATTTTATTATGCTGACAAATCCAAAACAACAAGGGAGTGGGGAGAAAGAAGGACCCATCTTTTAAGCCAACTCTCTTCGAACACACTGAAAGACAGATTAGAAGTGTTCCTGCATTAGCTACTGCAAGACTTATAGTAACAAGTTATTTTAAAAATACTGAAAAAGTTTGCTGAAAAGCAAGTCAGTACATTCATCAGATACACAGCACAAACATATCCTGGCCTCCTTTCCCCCAAAGCAGGGGGGCTTTTCATGAGATGTTGTCCCAAGCCAGCTCAAGCTTTACCTGTGTACTACCTAGTAGGCTCCTCCAGATAACCACTTGCTGAAATATGCCCTACAAATAATTACGAGCCTCAAGCAGGGAGCCTTTACACAATACAGGTTTGCCTCAAACAAACCACAACTTGAAAACAGAACAAATTCTTGTTATAAATAGAAAAGCCTGGGCATTTTAAATTCTCATCTTTTTCTTGCAGTTTTTAAAATACTGATTGACACATGGTCCATCTTAAAATTGATGTTTAAGAACTCTAAAAAGCTTTAACAAACAAATAGCCCAAACAAGTGGCAAAACATCTGCACATAATGAACAAAAATATTTGGCTCAGGAGCCAAGTTCTAAAAAAGGAAAATGAGAAGTGATTTAGTGCCATTACATGGGCTTGGTAAAAAAAAAAAACCTTGCATATAATGGCATTGCTAATTCAAAAGAAAAAAGCAAACAGTTTTTTTTTTTTTTGTCTAGAAGGAAGTGAACTACTGTAGCATCAGCACTTGTTTCCAGCGAGACCGATATTCACTGGAACTGGGTACACAAATACATTTGTGGAGAATAGTGATTATGACTAACACCACCAGCATGGGAAAAAAGCTCTAAGAATTCCCTGTTCTTTCAAACCAGGGAAGTACCGCTTACAGTTTCCTCTTCACTAAGCAAGAGCACCATAGTAGTAATTAGGTCCTAAAAAAACAGTTAAGAGTAGCTGCATGTGGCTACCGCAGACTTCCTCAGCAGCAGACAAGAAACCTGACTCTTCTGAAGAGCTGTGCTGATGAATATTGAGCTGTCAGGACTGCGGCCGCCTGGAGCTTACTGCGAGGGCATACCAAGAATTACTGCTCCAGAAACCAAAGCAAGTCCTTAACAAGGTTAACTTCTTTCTGGCAGCTGAAGTATCGGTGTGGAAGACATTATACAAAGAAATCAGAACTGGCAGCCTTAATCACCATTTGTTTCCCCACCTAGGGATGCCTAGGGTATGCAGCTACACCACAGCTGAGGCACTGTATACCACACCCTCTTCTCGGCACAGCCTTTCCCTCCCCACCATACCTCAAATATTTCATCGCTCTCTCCAGAAGCGCAAAATCAGAAGCACTTCCATCTTAGCTTCCCCTGCATCTACAGGTCGCGTGCGCAGCTGGCTTCAAATGCACCGAGGCTATGGCACTGCTGACAGTGCTGGGGGAAAAGGGGCAAGGGTTTGCAAAAAAAGCCTTGATAAAGCAAAATTGGTAAGTAATGCGTTGTGCATTCACTCTGCTTACTATGACAAGCAGGCATTTAATTTTAAGAAAGTTACTTTCAATTTTTAAATTGAGAAGACTGACAGATCTCGCTAAATTTTTTCTGTGCTCATATAACAAATGAGCTTAGAGAGCACATTAGCAATCTTGCTCCCCAAATTTGATCTGATTTCTACCCTGCTATTTTGTACTAGTCTTCCAGACTCCCATTTAAGAAACCCAGTGGTAGACAAGACCAATTTACCAATCACATTTTATAATCTAATTTTATAAATTGTAGATAAAAATGAAATTACAAGAGAGACGGAGACATGAGTGGACACTGAGCAGGCTGAAACCCAGGAACCAAAGGGCCAAGCATACTTCCAGCTTGTGGCCTGGCCAAATGAACACCTGCGACTTGTAAAAGGTTTGCTTTGTACCCAAATATGAGCTCAAACTAGCATTACGGCCCAATCTCAAGGTAACACCATTTGAAGGATTAAGATTTTACATTTTTGTCTGAAAACACAGCCTCTTTACTTTTCTCTGACCATTTCTCCCATGCCCTGACCCCTCCCCTTTATATCACACAGCTTTTGTTTCTCTTCCAAGTGCTTCAAGCATTCAACATTTTTTTCAGGTATTCAAAGTTGCACACATCTGCCACACAAATCAACTTTATCTAATCCATCATATTACCTAATTTGCATTTAATTTCCTCCCTGCTTACACAGAAATTACCAATGACCTCAGGGATTAAGCTAAAAAAATTCTGAGAAAACCAGAACCACATTATCCAGTCTACAGAGTCAGCAGGAGATTGCTACCTGCTCAGACAAGGGAGCTTTTCTTCTACAGGTTATTCTCTGCCTCTCAACCAAACCATACAATGTAAGAACTTGTGTGTTTTTCCAATTTACTTTTGCACCATTAATTTTGATAAAAACATCTAGTCACACGATCTTTTTAGTATTTGTATAAAATCCAAATGTGTATATTCTCCAGTTTACTCTGGTTACGCTACTTCATTTTGTTTGCAGGTAAGTTCTGGGTATTCTCTCGTTCAAACAGAAATATTGCAAGGAGCTTTTTTATCAAAGTACTCAAAAGTAAATAAAAAAAAGCCTTTGACTGCAGCACTTAAAAGGACAGAGTTAGAAAAGTCCTAGGTAAAAGTGACATTTAAATGTACTTCCTGCAGGCACTCCAAAGCACACTGGCTTGCTTGATAAAAGAGTAGGATTTATCACTACTTACTAAAATAGATAAGGCAATACACCTGTAACAGCACATTAAGCATTTGAGGCTAGAGGGAAGAAACCAGAATAGGCATGCTCCCATTTGTTCCATGAAACTACAGCACCCTTTCTGCTGCAAACTACATGAAAGGCGTAGATGCTGCTTGGCCTTCAGTTCAGAGGCAGTATTTTCAAGGCCAGTTTAAGAGGACAGAACATAAGCTTTGTATCTGTAAGTTTAACAAAGCAACCAGCATGAAGGAGACATGGGGGCACGACACCAAACCACGAACGTCCTCTCTACAGAGTTAGCTATGCTTGGGAGACAAAGGAAGTGGCTAATACCACTGTTTTCTCAGTTTACAGCTCCATCCGAGTTCATCTTGAACAACTGCAGGGTTGTCAAAAATATCTGTTACAAACCTAGTTATTAAATACAGTAGTCAGATGTGTGCAAGGTATGCGATGCTTCAGATTCTCCAGCACAGGCATTCAGGGTTAATGGAAGGAGGTGGTGAAACAAAACAAGTTACAATACAGTTGAAAGACGAAATGTAAAAACCTACCTTTTGTAGACTAGTTGGGTTCAGCTGTGTTTTGTCAATTATTTTTATGGCAACCTAAAGGAAGAGTTCATAATCAGTATTTTCCATATAAACAATGCAGTGTTATTACAAGATGGACAAATCCAGTAACAGAAATGGAAAACATGAAAATTACACAAAAAACATTCGACTTTCTTCAGCAAATTATGTATTTGTATTTAAACTAAAAGCACATGGAATTGACAGCTAAAGTGTAATTCATTTCTATTGCAAGAAACTAAACAGGAGAGTGGAAAAAAACCCTAGTATTTTAAGCATTTTAAGATGAGAGAAGCACACTTAAGTCTTTTGCTTGACATAAGACCATCACAGTGACTACAGTGGAAGCTCCAACACCAGACAGTGCCCCGATAGAGAGCAGTGTGCCTACTGATAATATTTACACAGTATAATTACACAACAGATTACACAGTACTGACTGCACATTGGCAGTTTGTGAAGATGCTTCTAAAAGCAGATATTTCAGAAAAAATTGAAAGCAATTCCACACAAATTTTGCAAGAACTAAGTTCACTTTTGGAAATTCACTGAATATTTGTATCAATTTGCTCCCTGATGGATACAAAAAGAAGTATCACTTGTGCATTAATAAAAACCCACTGGCTATAGTACAACAATTTGGGCAAGTTCATTCCTTTACCGGTTCTCATCTTTTCAAGAAACACTGCACAGAAATGCTGAAGAACAAAACAAAAATTTCACAAAATAATCAAAAGAGAAATTCAGTACCATGGTAACTAGTCAGAACCTCAGGATCTGAGGCAATGAATAGGCAACAGAGATGAGCTCCAGTGCAATGCAATTTGGATACACGATGAGTTAGAACAGGGAATGGGAATCTTTCTAGAATTATGTGCCAATTGGTATTTTTCCTTTCTAAATTAGAGACTAAACATACCAGAAAAAACTCTGCAGAAGCCAAGGAGATGGTGACTCCCAAAAAGGCAAGATGCTGCAACTCAGCTGATTATAATACCTCACTGGTGTTGAAGCAAGGGCTTTCAATTCCCCTTGAATTTTTGGCTCAAATAGTAAATGATGTTCCTTCCCATGCCACAGCTCCCATTTCCCTGCATCACTTAGTGCAGTCTTTGTCATCTCATTAACTTGCGGTTGCCAACATATGGAACAAAGAATATCTTATATCAAAGCAGTTTTATTTCCCTACGTTCAAGTGCAAAAATGCATAGAGATCATCATGATGGAGAAGGTAAGAGGGGAACAGTGTTCAATGCTTGGATGCATCACAGAATTCTGTGACAGATACGGTGTTTTCTGAAACTGAGATTCAAGATTTACTTTGAGCACTTCTAGATGCAAGATACAATGAGATGTCACCAAGAAGCTATCTAAGAATACTTCTGCTTTGGGAAGTATTTTCTTCTAAGGTATGCTACTGAAATTAAAGATCACTATTTCCCGAGGCAAAATTCCATTGCAAAACCTTGAGAAATCACTTCAAAAATACAAACAAGAGATAAACACATTAAGCAATAGGTAATTTTATATTAGCAGCTGTGTACGAAACCAAGAAAGATTTTTATCTCCACCTTTATGCCTGTTGTTACCTTCGTGACAATAGTTCAAAGTTACTCACTTCCTGCAATCTCTCATAAATCCATGCTGGATGTAGAGTGACCACTGCCTTTTTCAACAGCAGACAACGTTGTCTGAAAATCACCTGGTACCCCAAGACCACCCATGCCACAGAAGATGGCTGTTCACTTGGTAAGTGCATTCTACTCAGAAAAAGTTGCATTTGCATTCTGAGCTGTACCATTCTGGCCAATCTTTGAAAGACGTAAACTTGTTTCAACCCAGGAAGTCTTAAGGTATGGGGTTTCTGCAATACAGCTCACCTCTCACACTGTGCATTGGTGCCAGATGATCAGAGAGGTCTCTGACACTGGCAAACAAATTCAGCCCTGGAGATACAAGGAAGGTACGCGCCTCAGTTTTCTAAAAGGCAGACTCCCAGGCCTGTTCAGTGCACTAATTATAGCCTTAAAAGCAGGATGAATTTAGAGAATTCCTATTCATGTGAACACTGAGAGTACAACGTGTTAACACTGACTCTGAAAGCTTGAGCCCATCATCAGAACAGGGAGCAGTTTCAGGTGCCTTGATAAGGTCTCCAAATCACAGACAAAGAGAGCTTGCCCTCAAGAATAGTTCTGACAAGCCTGAGAAAGAAAATCCTGTTTTATTAAGCATAACTAATAAAGCATCAAATTGCCTTCCAAAACAGAAACTTTGCTCTCTTCACACAAAGTGAATCTGGAATGGTTTCAAATATCGTGTGCTATAGCCAATGTTGGAGGAATGCAAGTCCACCTACACCGTTACACCGCTGCATCAGCCATGATATTCTGTGTGAGATCATTAGTAGAACGAAATTAACTTTGGTTTCACCATTCACAATAACTTGACTTAAAACATTCCTCCTACATGACTTGAATGAGGGAGTTAAAGCAATCAGAAGTTGAGATACTGAGCAAACTGGCCAAACTGCTACCATTCAAAATGTTTTCTCGCTCTTAAATTTCACTTTTTCCAAGGGAAGAACAGAAAGAAGATGACAATAGATTCCTTGGAGTCAGACTTGGATCCTGAAAGAATCCTGTCTCACTAGGAAACTTCAACTTCCTGGCTATTAACTGAACACGTCTTTAACGAACAAAAGGATCCATATGTTTTTGGCTGTGATTCCAACCACCTCAGTAACAGCAAAAGGTAGTTTTAGATTAATTTTGGCAAGTATGGAAGACTTGTCAGAGAAAATAACCTTTGATAAATTACAACAGAAAATACATGGCTTAAAGTCAAAGAATTAACAAAAGCAGATCTACAATGAACATTCTTGGTTTCAAAAGGGCAGAGACACTACAAGTAATACTCTCCTAGACAGAGGATCTCGAAGGAGTGTGTTTCTAAACCCAGTTCTAGTGCAGTGAAGCTAACCCTCCCTCCATACATGTGCACTGAGCAGAAGGCCACACACTCCTTGGCAGGACAATTCAACCCCCTCAAGTTAGGCTGATGTTCTGATCACCCCCCAAAGGGCTAAACGTTTCTCCCTTTCTGTAATTTGAGACTGGGCTCTTATCATATACCCTGCACACACCAAAGAGTCCTGGAACTTACTCCAGTTGGAAACATGAAAGCTGTATCTCAAGCAACAGGAAAGTACATAGGGAAGGACTCCAGATGTAAGGAGATGAGCAACTACCCTAGAAAAATGCTTGAACAAACATAACCTCCTCCCAAGAAGTGACAGAAAAATGCTGATCTGCTGCATGATTTAGAAGTTAATCAGCGCAGAGATATAAAGAAGGAATTGCCATAAAGTGAAACTGAACTGGACACTTAAAAGGACATTAAGAATAGCCACATAGATAACAAGGAGAAGGTAAGTAGGGTTCAAATACAGCAAGGATACATTAGAGATGAAAACTCATTTAAGCGTGACTCCCAAAACTAAGCATTTTATTTTAGGTTTTGGTACATAAGATGGAAAAAAGAATAGGAACAAAGACAGGACAGCCAGC